TGTCACATAATAATTTCAAAAATTACATTAACCTTTTACATAATTTCAGTTTCATGCTTGAAAGCTGTTGAACATAAAAGCTTTGTGCGTTCTCAATGCGTTTTATCACGAATTTACTTCTAGTTTTTAATTTCACCTTTCCGATTAAATGAAACTTTTTACGGCATCACATAAACTGAATCAAATTTTCAGCATTTTTTATTAAAATTATTAATGACAAATGGAAGTTTTGAAAAGGTTCGAGAAGTATTTATTTTATTGTACTGATTAAACTGTCTGGTTTTGCGAACTAGTAATAATCAGTGGTTTATCCGTAATATTAAGATATAAAAGCATTGACAGGTGCAATGTTGGGGGAATAATTGTCTTTTGCGAATTCTGATAGTTCTGCTGAAATACCCAAGTGGTCGAGCAGTAGCAGTCCGTCAGTGTTTTATCCCCTGTGTGTGTGTGTGGTTCAATTCCCAGAAATTGAGTTTCTAAGCCATAATGTAGCATTGTTAATAAAAAAAAAGTTCGAAATTGATTTCAAAATTGTATCTGGATTAATTTCGATTTGAATATTTAATTTTATGTCATGATTCGAATAGTGAATCACTTTAGGAATGCATCCATCAAAGAAAATGGTGTGCTTGAAGCACTTTAAAATTGTTTTTAATTCATCGTTGTAAAGCAGAGCCGTGCCCCATTAACAATAGAATTATCAATTGTAATTACAGCAAACAATCGTCTCTTTCTTCATTATAATTACATTCGATTCACTTTTAATATTTCAAAGGTACGATATGACAATGAAAGAGTAAGAGTCATTGCTTTGAAATATTAACATACAAATACACTTGCTTGAAAGTGTCTTATTAATTATCGTTCTTCGAAGTTGTAGAAAGGTCGACGAGTAAGACAACAACAGAGGTAAAAAAAAAATAGAGAAACTAATTTTTGTGACAGCAAGTAATAGAATAAGACGATGAAAATATTAAGTCAATTGAGCTCACCTTTTATTCTTTTGAATAATTTATTGGACCCAATGAATAATTTATATAGTCACTTTTTACGCGTGTCCATGAATTTCACTTTTACTCGATACAAAAGAATAGAATAAAATTGTTTTATGATAATTATCATTTGCTATTCCATCATACAAATTAATTTATTTTCTTCAGAAATTAATTTTTTTACTATTCACATGATTGCATTTTTTTAACGATATAAAAATCTGATCCTTTATAAGCTATTTTTGTTCACAGCAAAAGAGTTAAAGAAAAATTACATTTTCACTTTAGTTTTAGTGTCTTTTCAACACTAGACCACACCGACCGATATTAAAAACTCTTCTGTGCATTTTTTTCATAAAAACAGTCAGTAAACGTTATATATACATTGTTATATATATTTCAAATAATAATAAAAGGCAAAAAAATACACAGCACTAACTAGCGAGCGTATATATAACTTTTAATTCAACGACGATGAAAACGTGAATGATTCACGACTAAAATTCTTCCTCTCACATTTCTTTCCTTTACTTTCCGGCACGAGTTCGAATATTCGAAATATGGAGAGTAAGCAGTAGTAAGCTGAGAAATAAAGTTGAAAAAAAGAGAATAAAAAGCACGAAGATGCTTTTAAGCTGTCTTTTAGATTCCTTTTCCTTTGCTTAAATGATGATTGCCACGTTTTTTTATGTGCTGATAAATGAAGCAAAAAAAGTTTACAATATATTACGAGTCACGATTTATGCTCAAATGGTAAATGAGAAAAATGCATCTACAGCATAACACGGTTTCCCTGTAAAATTTTCTCTCACTTTCTCTCGTTTCCTTCCACATCCTTTCTTTTAATTTAATACTTTATTTTTAGATTTTATCATAACTTATTGAAAGAACTTGAAATTTAATTAAACAAAAGTAATGTATGTTATAACATTAAGACATTATGTCATGCGTTGCCTGTTTACTTTACACTAGTTAAGCATTTAAATAATTTCTGATGGGTGTTAAAAATTCTGAATAAATGACACAAACGTCACACGCATAGCATGTAAGTTATTGGTTTTAGTTTTGAGTCTTGTTCTCTTTTTTGCAATTTTTGAGAAAATTAAACATTAAATACACAATTTAACTGGAGGAAATTGAAAATGCGCATCAAATGCCATATAAATATTTGCAATCAGTTTCAACATGTGGGCAAGGTTAAAAAAAATATTATGCAAAATTAATTACATAATTACACAAATTAGCGAAAACTGTTGAAACTTGGTTGAAACATATTATTAATAGACAGTAGAATATGTTTTTGTCACTCAATAATTTAATTTAATTTTTTAGCGTTTTCGATATAAGCAATTGCTTTTTCACCGCCATTAAATTCTTTCTTTTTTTCATTGTCAGCTTTTTCGATATCATCAGACTTTTCGTATCCATCTGATAAAGATTTATCTTCTTTCTTCAATTGCTCGCTCTATTAATTAAAGCATTGTTGCGTCTTTGCTACCAGCATGAAGTGTTTCAATGTATTCATTAATAAATTCAATTTGTTTGAAATATTTTTCAATGGCATCAACCTAATTCTGTTGATATTTTTTATACAGTTCCTAAATTCGATGATATTTTACTGTCACACATGTTTGATTGATCGGTAATCATTTTATTCTTAACACTCATATGCAACTCCTGTGGTTGGGTTTCGGATATGAAATCACGTTATATATTCTACCATTCCCATATTATGGGGCCGTTCACTTATTACGTTACGCAAAAAAACGACTTTTTTCATACTGTCCAGCTAAATAGGTCATGTTTTGATTGATACTATTAGTATTCTCATGAATTATTGGATTGTGATATAAAGCAAAAATTTGTTTTTTTTTTTTAAGAAAATTCAAAAATGTCATGAAAAATATTATGCCCGATCGAATTTTGGAAAATTCAATCAACTTTGAATGTAAATATCACAATGATAAGATCATTTTAATCATCATATGAATGACAGATTTAGAGAGATTTACGTTTAAACTTATGATTGATTTAATTTTGAAAATTTCCACAAATTATGATTGTATTTTAAAGTCATCTAAACCAGTTTTCTATTGATTTTTTACTTTATATAACAAAAACGACAAAAACTATGTATTGCTTAACTATCAAAAGTGATCTGGACATTCATAAATCATTAAAAAGGTGGAAAATTTAAAAAAATGTTTTTGGCAAGTTTTTGGTGTGAATTTGTAAACAAATTTTTTTCGTGAACTTTTTTTTAAAAGACAGACGACAGTTGGAACGTTACATACTTCTTGACCCCCCCCCCCCCCCCCCCTTATGTTACATTTGGTTACAATTTTTCAAACCCCCCCTCCCCCCTAAAATGCGAACGTAATAAGTGAACGGCCCCAAAAAAATGAAAATAAAAAAACACTCAATAATATCAACACTGTCATGCTGCATAAAAGAAATTTATCCAATACAACACTACAACAATCGGCGATACAATGACAACTGACTGGTGATGTCAGCTGTATCGCTTAAAGTTCTTGAGCAGAACTATCTCGTACTCGATGTTATTTACCTCCAAATAGTTATTTAAACGTTTGGATTAGTAAGATGTAATCGAATAGCTTAAGAGACTGCAAGGTATCAAAAAAGAAGCGTGGAAGTTTGTGGCTTTCTACGTAAGTTATTTTAAATGTTTATGTCATATACATAAGACCTTTAACACATCCTTTAAAATTTTTCCATAGCTTTACGGAAGATAAAATTTTATCTCGGTATCAAGATATATTCGTTGCCGAGCTGAAAGAGAAAATTTTTGATTACGTACGTTTGGAAAATTCAGGATACTGAATTTATAAATTTAAGTTTATATTTTAAAGCACTATTAACCCTAATAAAAAATGGGTGCAATTTATGGTCTAAAACTAAATTTTTTAAAGCAATTTCATTCTAAATGAAATTGAAATTGAACAAAAAGGACATAAATCTTTTAGACACCGCAATCTTATTTTTTATAAGTCCAATTTTATTTGAACAATCTTCATGCTGTTATGTTTATTTTGCTACACACTCATTCACAATAAGTCAACAGCATTACATATATCTTATAGTATTTACAAAGTGCTACAGTTGAAGATAATAATGGAACTTTTTTTTTACATTCTTTCTTTTTGTGTCTTCTTCGTTTTTTTATTTAACCATTTTTTATGTTCTCGGGTTGTAAACGAAGTGAAAATTTCATAAGTACACATTACGATGAAAACCATTTATAGTATCATCGAAGAAACAAACAACCTTTTGACTAGTAATGCTCAGCAATATGATAATGCTTTTTAAACTCTCTTTTATTACTTTTATTGTCAAATGCTTCTTTCAAATTGAATTGATAAGGATTTTTTTTGCACATTCATTTCTTGAAAAGATTAGGATATTTGAAATGGAAAGGCGATGAGTTTGAATTGAATTTCGAATTGTTGAATTCATATTTATGCAAAAGTAGAAATAATAGTAAAGGAATGAAGTAGCTTAATCGAGAAGGAGCTTATTAAAAAATAAAAACGATTTTATTCATTCGTCTTCTTGTCATTCACCTAAATAGTCCCTTTGAAATATATTCGAAGATGCCAGTTCCAAAATGGAGATTTAATGTTTTAATAAATTGTGAAATACCTTAATCTTAAACTTTTTTAAAAGAGTAATGATGACTTTGTACATGAAGATTTTATGCACATATTTTCTCAGTTTTTATATCACTTTATTGTTGAGGTATTGAACAGAAGAGCAGTAATAATGCATTAAGCACAGATCCCTGTAGTATGTGAAAATTTGATAAAAGTTTAATTGCATCCTTCTACTTGTGCTCTACATGTATATTGAAAGTCATTATGTTCTTGTAAATATTTGCAGTACATTGTGTCATTTATTTGTGTAATGGAAAACCTTTTAAACTTCTTACTAAATTAATCGATAAGAGATGTTTTCAGTTTATAAAAACTTTTTTAAATCTGTGTGCTTCAAGCAGATTAAAAGCAAAATTTTGATTTGAAATAAATGGTTTGAATATTTAATTTTATTTTCATTAAGACCTGTCAATTGTAATTTTACAGTTGCTGATATGATTTATGAATCTCTAATCGTTATTCCTGAATACTCATGAATCCAGTCAAGGAATGTTGAAAGTCTTGCAGCTGAATGGAAACTAAATCCATCTACAGTTCGGCGACCTGCATGAACTCCAATTTGTGTCATGTGATCTCCTTCTCTGACAATAACTGTCAAACGAATTATAATTAAATTATAATAAAGTCCTACTTTTTTTTAAAAAAGAAAGGAAAGCTTTTCTCACCTGGTCCACCTGAATCACCCGGTTGAGTCATTGAATCTGTACCATTGTCGACATAACAAATTTCATATTCTGTAAAGCGAGTGCTACAGACGTTGATAGAAAGTACTAAAAAGTTTGCATACTGCAGATGAACTGTGCTTGCTCCTGTATTATCACGCCCCCATCCAATCGTAGTGACTGGCCAGCCTACAAATTCATAATTAGTTTGTACACGAGAAGGAATTCGAATAAAATCTATTAGGGCTGTGCGAACAATTGGCTGTGCGAATCGAAACATTGCAAGATCTTTAACCAGAGTTGCAGGTTGTTCAAGGAACCAAAATTCGGCAGAGTTAACGATCGTTCCAGGGACATTTCTATTAACTGTTCCAATTAAAAATGCAACATTTGTGATCCAATCTGAATTTGGCGTTACACAGTGACTTGCAGTTAAAGCAAATTGTTCATGAATTAATGATCCTGTACAAAGTGTTCCAGAAGATACTTCTGTCTCTGGATTTCTACGAGTTATTGAAAGTCTTGCAACAAATGGAAATTGACCTGGTTCAGCGTCACTTCCATTAATAATTCTTGCATCTCTATCAAAATCATAAATTGTGTCGCTTGATGGACCTTCTAAAGTAAAGTGATGAACTTCATATTCTTTAAAATATCCAACAATTTCAGCGGATGCCGTCGCAAAAAAGAACAATAACAGTATTCCTTTCATTATGCTCTCTTAGAAGTTTAAACAAAGACTAAATCGAATGAAAATACCTTGCATACTTTAAGCTATATTTAGTCTTTAGATATTTTTTATCAGGAACAATTTTTTTTGATAAGATACTAGCTTAATATACTTTTAATTAAAAAACCCCATTGATTTCTAGACTTGAACTGCTTATTTCTAATTTAATAAATCAACAATAAAATGATAAATTCACTTGATGGAAACTATCGTAGCCAGGAAACTTGAGCATAATTTTAACTATGTTAATTATCACTTGGACTAAAATAAGGCTAAGACAAAGTATTATGTGTCAGATCACAAAGATGTAAAGAATATCGAATAATAATGGAAATTGACTTGTCAGGTTTAATTTTATATCAAAAGAATTTTTCTTAATTGAATTTCGGAAAATATTGACAAGTAAGCATTAAATAAGCTGTTTATTATCCCAATCATCTTAATCTAGGGACAAAAAATTCATTCATAAGATTCAGAGAGATGCTTTTTATAAATATTCTTCCATTCTATTCCTTATGTATAAAATCAATGTGATGATTTTTCTGCTTTCATAGGTAGAAACAATCTTATTCTTCAGTATTTAAGTGCCATCAATATGCATAGTGCTTGAAAGTCATAACACGTATTCTTTTCTCATCATCACAGTCTATCGTTCTGTACATATTACAATGATATAAGTACACTTTTACTTCATGATTTTTATATGACATATTACAGATGCATAATTTTTTCTCTTCACACTTTAATAAAAGTCATTGTCATGCAACTGTTCATGTCAGCAGAAATAATATGGAAAAAATCAAAAAAAACTTTTATTAGCATTTAGTTCGAATGTATCACAAATCACAAACATTCATTAAAAGATGTCTATGAAATATGATGAGTTATCAATTATTTTGCATATTTCAAGTTGAATTAAGCTTTTATCTTTTATGCCTATCAACTTTTTTATAGTGTTTGAGTATAATGTCAAATTGTATAGTAACAAAATATATGAACGAATTCAGACATCTTTTTAGTAAAAGAATTTAAAGGATCCATGTTAGAGTTTTTCTCCTTATGTAGCCTCGGTAAATCATTGAATGATCGTGTTTATAAAAAATAAACTTTTAAAAATTATTGTTATTTAAAATGTGCAGGTATTAGATCTAATTACTAATACTTATTTTTCAACATTCATTTACGTCAGTAAAAGCTGTAAGCTGTAATCATTCATGCTAGCAGTCTCTTCATTGTTGATTTTCTATGATTTTTTTATCTCTGGATATTTTCAACGAATATTAACATATTTTTTTATCAGGATCTTTTAAACTATTCTTATACACATAATATCTAAGAAAGGACAAACATTTACTTCTGGCTTTTTTTCCCTTCTTGTCAAAATTAGTCTATGACTTTCTTATTTTCAGTACGTTTTATATTGTTTCTGTTTTAACAGATAAGCAAAAAGTCTTTTAAAGCTTTATAAATGAACTTAAAAAGATGAATCACGAAACAAAGTACTTCTTGAGGCCGCTAGTTAAAAGCAAGCAAGCATTTTTAATTACTCTCAAAAGAATAAAAATAGAAAAGAGGCACTCGATAAGCTAAGAGATAATTTCGATTTATATTTATCCATCTACACTTCCTATTAACTATGTCACGTTTCTTCCCTTGTTATTTATAATGCAACTCGACAGGCTGAATAGAAACTTTTGTCATCAATGCTGATGTATTTTACTAAACGTAATGATGAAGCACGAAAATAAAAAAAATTCTCAATTGTATAAACGTATATGAACAAGTATGAACTAAAAGCAAAAACCAAATGTCAAGAAACTTTTAATTAATTATGAAAGTAGGCGAAAGTAAGATACAATCTGGAAGAAAAGAAAGATCTATTTAAGCTTATAATATTAATTAAAATTGAGCGCACTAATTTCCTAAGAGAATAATTTGAAACAGTCTACTTACTTATAAGTACAAATAAATCTAATAAGGATCATAAAGTAATTATTACCGTATCTTGAAATAACCCATAAAAATCAAACAATTTATTTCAACTTATTTTATAGAGCTATCTGTGGTTTTGTGCAGTTTGATATTAGTTTCCTTAATGACCTAATTATTAGCTTCATTAATGTAAGATTCAATTTAAGGAAGATTCGTCTTTAAACATTAAATCTTTGTATATTTTTATTTTATATTCTTAATTTAAAGGTTGTTCACTTATGATATCTGATAAGACGATTTTCTGGTAGCTGATAATGAGCGGCATTGTTTCACAAAAAAAAAAATCACTCGTAATGAAGAAAGCCAAACAGCTCATGCTGTTATAAAAAAAGTTTTTCAAAATATAATCATTTTAAAAGAATTCATGGCTGGTAAGGATAATAATCTTAACCTCCCTACCTATAACTATATGCTGATTTCAGCTTCACTAGACATAATTGAGCAAACATGCTATTCTATGCATGGAAGTTAATTTTATTATAAAGATGTGAGAGAGGGAGGAGTTGGTAGATAATCAGTTTAAAACTCTTATTTTTGATATGCATCATAAATCCCAGTTCCTAACAATTCCTTCAACAATTCTGAAGTTTTTAAACAAATTGAATAAATAACATTAAAAATTCTAAAACATTTCCATAGAGACAGACTAAGATTATTAAGTCATTCACAAGATATATTGTATCAAAGCTATGCAAAAGATGTAAAAAAAAGAGATAAGAAAAATGATAATCTTCTCCATTCCTTAGTTCTTTGATATACAAAATGGTTTTAATGCAGCGGGATTTATGCTTAACGACACAATAATGTACAATGCTAGGCAATGTAATGTCTAAAATAAAAATAAAATATGTATGGGGCCGTTCACTTATGACGTCCAGGGGGGGGGGCGGGGGGTCAGCAAGAAAAGAACAATAGAAATTCCAGGAAATCCATTGTTCTTTTTTGAAAAATGACCATTAATTTCGGACGTCATAAGTGAACGGCTCCTATCTTGATTATTTTGTATAATAATAATTCTTGATGTTGTCAATTAGTATCTTTTAGGGTCATGAATAAATTCATACATTTAAGTGGGAAGTGATGGAAGAAGAAAAAAAAAATCATTAATTTAATTATTGACTTATGTGACGTTTTAATGAAGAACTTTTTTTATTCGTTTTCATTAAAAGCTTTGACATTTTAATTTATCTTATATCGTCTAATTATAATTGAAAGTAGGTGGACAGCAACAGAAAACATGGCAACATCATGAATTTTATTTTTTTCTTTTAACTCTAAATGGTGATGGAATTTGGATCTGCAAATTTTTTGCATTCAACATTGAGTCAACTAAAGCATCTAATTTTTTGATTCGAGGATCAATTGGAGGTGCTAAGGTAGGAAATGTTGGTGGACCCGTATTTGCTGTTGTTGATGGAATGGCATTTTGAATAAATGGAAAATTTTGAGGTAAACCATATCCATTGGCAGATGGACCACCAAATCCAAAACTATGTGCCTAAAATAGAAATAAAAACAAATCAACTTATACTTTATAGCTTCAATAAAGTAAACTTACTTGAAATATTTTTGCAAACGAAGAAATAATGATGATAAATGTCACTAGATTCATTGTCAATATCAATTGTGAGTTTCAATAGTAATCCGAGAAAATATCAATAAATCTTGGTTCAAGTTGAAATAATACTAACGTGTGATAATAACATGCTTCTGCACTTTATGAATTTTCCCTATAATTTAAATTGATTTTTTTTTATTCCCGTGTCAAAAATAACAATGCTTTTTTATTACATTAACGGTGTTCGAAGAAATTTATTCCGTTCTATATCACATATTGGTCAGTGTTGAATATATTAAAGGTATAGTAGCTTGTTATCTTGATATCAACGACTGCAAAATAATAATTCGATCTAGCTGATGAGAAAAAATATGTAAGGTCATTTATTTGAACAGCCATAAAACATAACAAGCATGTATTGAGACATTTCTGTTATAATTCAAGTGCACTGTACTAAATGAAAAACTGTTGAATTGACTAAAATTGACCGAATACAAATAATACTGTCGTATTCAAATTTTGAATGTTCTTTTTTTCATTTAGTTTTTAAAAGCAAGCAATCGATGACTCATATTTAATTTAAGGTTAATGGTCTAATATTCTTCATTATTAAAAAGTTCAGATATTCTTACATTAGTCATGTAGCTTCAGAACTTAACTAAAAAGAACCTTTAATGAATGCGAAAAAAAGCAATTGATCCTAATGATAAGAAAATTGAAAAATCTTCGAAATGATCCTTCAATATATTTTAATAAGATCAAAAACTTTTGAACTAGAAGTTATCAACAACAGCTATTAAAATATTAAAATAAAGAATAAAAATACATAAAAGCCCTTAAGATTTATACATTTTTTATTGCACAAAGTAATTTAAAAAGATCGGTACAAAAATATGTCAGTATTTTATTATTTTATGTTCGAACTGACATGCCTCTAGGAAGGAGCCCATCATTTCTGCCTTCTCCAACGTTTGATGTTTGATTTAGATATGTATTTCCTGTATTTTTATGATCCTGAGGAGGGCTTCCGGGAAATTGTGCTGCACGTTCTAATTTAATAGTGTTATGTTTAATTAATTATTTCAGTTTTAATTGAATAATAATGGTATCTAGGACTGTAAACATTCTACTTACTGACAATATTTGAATGCTCGGTTTCCCCTTCAATTGCTAGCGATAATCCAATCTATGAAAGATTCATGAAGAAATTTCTATAATCAATTTTATTGATTTCTTTTTTTTTCCATCGATGTGCTCAGAAATAGAGCAATAGAATCAAAATAATATTTACCTTCCAAACAGCAGCAGATGTCAAAAATATAAAAATCAAATAATAAAATTTCATCTTTAATTTCACGAAATGTTAAAAGGTATAATAAAATGCAGAGACGAAAACAACTGTTTGTTAAAATGTCTGAATTAAGAATGAGTTTTACAGTTCATGTTCATACGAATATTATCAAATTGACATACAAGAATGACAATGAAATTATTGCCATTAACACATTTTACCAACGCAAAAAAAAAATAATAAAAACATAAATTACTATTAATTCGTTAGAGTCGTCAAGGAGAAAAAAAGTTGTTTGTTTTTTCTGCGTAATTGGATGATAATTTATTGTAAATAATTTTTATGTCAATATAATAATTTTAAGTTAAAAAATTATTCTGAAAATTTGAAACATTGTTGTATGGAAACAACAAACAACAAAACATGCAACATTGAATTCTGTTTATATAAAACTTTTTGCCAAACATTAAGTATCTGAGTTTAATATGTAAACCTTACATATTAGATGGTTTTGAAATGCTGCGATGTCCGAGTGGTTAAGGAGATTGACTCGAAATCAATTGGGCTCTGTCCCGCCTAGGTTCGAATCCTAGTCGCAGCGTCAAATCTTTTTGCACCTTTTTTATTTCTTGTGGTTAATTCCTTATATTTTTAAGCAAATGTCAAAATAATTTTACTTTGGAACAAATCAACTGATTCAGACATTTTTCAATCTCGTTTAAGCGAGATATTCGTTCAGTCATCAATTTCCTCGAATTGCTTGAGTTATCAATTGTTTACAAATAAAATTCCCACATCATTTGACTCTCAGTTCTATTAAGCAATTGTCTCTCAATTCTCAATCCATTTGATTGTCACTTTATAATAAGTTGAGCTTGACTTGGACTTAATTAGTTTATTTTTGAAGTCATTGAGATGAAGTTCTTGTACGCAACTGTTCTTTTGAGTTTTGCCATTTGTTGTTTGGCTGATAGCGACGCTGACTCAACATATAGCAATTTATACTGCCAAACTGATTACGTGATTAAGGAGAAATTGTTTGACGTAAAGAATGCAGAAAATACTTTTGAAATTTTAGTGAGTGGAGATCCAAAGAAACTAAATTGTAATGCTATTTTGGATGCGGAAAAAGAGAGAATATACAAAGATTTGCGAGAAAGACAGGAAGATAACGCAACAATTGATTGCAATATAAAGAAATTAAAGGACCTTGAATTTCACAAGCTACGTTTTAAGATTAATTCTCTTCTTGGATTAAGTATCCCGACTGCTGAAAAAAATAATATGAGGAAGAAGATCAACAAGGAAATTGAAAATGCAATAAGCCAATCTGTTGATGTTTGCGATATTTAAGAATGTTCTAATTAACGACTGAAATATTGAACTTTGAATCAAGCAATTTGTGTTTACATGTTTAGAAGTTGTCAATAAAAAAATTAAAGCTAGAACATCTTTCTATTTTTATTCTTTATTAGTATCCTTTAAGATTGGGAACAATCCTGAAAATGAAACAAGAAAGAAATATTTTCATCTTGACATTCTCAAATTGCTTTTAATAGCTTTATTATATTCATTTTTTAGGGAGAAAAGAAGTCATTGTTCGAATTTCGTCCAACTGTTAGTACATATTGCTCTCCATAGTCCTTCAGTTTTGCCGTTTGGGGCTGTTCACTTATTACGTAACGCGAAAAAATGACTTTTTAGCCCCCCCCCCCCCTCGTAACAAAATTTGTATGAAAAAAAAATTTCCTTGTTTGAATCGTAACAAAATCTTAGACCCCCCCCTCCCCCTAAAAGCGTTACGTAATAAGTGAATGGCCCCTTTGACCTAAGTTAAATGCTAGAAGATTGCATAATAACACTAATTTCCATCTTAGAACATAGGCTGAAATGAAGATATTTCAGAGTCCATGGGTAGATAGACAGGTTTAGAATCTCATACTCTTGATATATTTATGCGCTTTGAATTGCTCACGAGTAATTTCTTTATGGGTTTGCCTTATCAATTTCAGGTACCTTTTACTGTTTGCAAAAAATAAAAATCGAGTTACTTATCAATTTATGCGACACACACTGACATTTCATGACCCACAGAATTTTCGGAGTAATCTCATTTTATAACAAAACAGATGCAAATGTTCTCAATTTTAAGTAGATGTTCTTGAAGTGGCAAAGTGAAAAGACGATGAGGAAGAATATTAAGCATTTTTTGCTGCTTCTTTTTATTTTAATTGGTGTGAATTGTGACGAATCTACATTCGATAAGGAATGTCTCGCAGATTACTTAAAGCGGAATGGAATACTTGAATCTTCATTTGCATCGGCACCATACATTAATAGTACTGAGCTTTGTGATCAACTTATGATAAAACTTGTAAGCGATTTCAATAATGATGTTAATAGACGTATCCATAATGAGAATTTGATGGAGAATCAAGAATGCATAATTGAGAATTTTGAGAAGCATGGGATTGTGAAATTTTATTTGAAAGCCTTTGTATTTCAACTGTATGGAAAAATCCCAAATTTTAAGCGAAAGTCATCAGCAACAAAAAATAAATTCATTTCAATGCTCGACAAGTCATGTCATCCGGATATTTTTGGAAAAGAATTTGATTTAATTAGAGGATCTCCAACAACTCCAGATGAAAATATTGCATGCATTCAGAAAGCATACTTTGAAGCTAACATTCTTAATTTTAATGAATTTAGAATAGATTTGTCAAAATTCAAAATGCCCAACTGCACAACAGAAGCTCAAGAATTTTCAATTCCGCCTCTAATTCAACGCGATTATTTTGGACTTTCAGCACAACGAGTAAAACGATGTTACAAAAATTATTTCCTGAAGAAGCAAGTGTCATTGCGGATGGCAACCTCGGTTGTATTTAAAAATGTTGACTTGTCATCGGATCAAATTGCTATTATTCGTAATAAGTATCATGTATGGATGACTGAAAATCAGAATGCAATATTTACGTGTATTAATAAACATATTTAATCATTTCTGAGTACTTTGTTTGATTTTTTTGACTTTGCATCCATTTTTCAGAGTGATTGCAATTTACTTTAGAGATGCAATTATGAGCTTTCTCAAAATTCGTGAACTGCTATTAAAAGACATAGCAAATTGACAATAATTGATCAACTCACCTCAGTAGTCAAATAAAATACATAGTAAGCTAGCTTAAAGAGATTATTTCTTGACCTTGCTCTCAACTGTTTGTTCTTTTATTTCAATATTTTTAAACCACATGATTATAATTTACGATTTTATATAAAACTTACAGGAATTATCTTGCGTTTATACTTCAAAAATTAAGGTATTAATTATAATCCTAGTAATATTTCCAGTTGCTCTCTCCTTCTTGATTTTTCACGCGCATTTTACGCTCAACTAATTCAGTAAGTGCTTCAGATCGCACTGATAATGAGTCAATTTTTTCGACAAACTGCTGATAGGGACTTAAAGGTTGTCCACCCATAACTACATATCCCAATTTTGAATCAATCTTTGCATCAAGACGAGCATTACGAATGAGATTGACAATCCAACATTCTGCTTCTTCTGGTTCCATATTCAACTTGTCAGCAAGCATTCTAAAATGATAATAATAAATTAGATACTGTGGTGGTTTTTTTGATAGTCAATTTCAACTTACTGGCTTGTAATGCATTGATGAATTCGACAGAAAGTTTCGAAAATCATGAGACGAGCATTTTCAATGAACTCATCCAAGCATCCAATAATGAAGAAATCATTGAGAATGACTGTTTGACACTCGTGTAATTTCATACGTGCTCCTTCAAAATCAAAATTGACATACAAATGCTCAAGAAATTCTGTAATTGGATCTTTGTATGTGTAAGATTCTTGTTGAATGACTTTAATTAAATCCTTCAAAGCATTTCTTCTGCCTCGATTGATGACAACGGCAACAGCAAGATAGCGAAGAATATGTGGACACATTGTTTGGATTGCGTTCAAATATAAAGGTTTATACAAGAACATTTCAATGATCAAATCCCGTCCTTTTGGATGATTGAAAAATACAAGAACACTCCAGTGAATAAGCCAAGTGCGTTGTTGAAGGACTTGAATGTTTGTAAAATTATGATTATCGATGAATTCTCTCAGGCGGTTTAAATCTTCAAGAGCTGTCTGCCAGTTCAATGTCAAAATTTCTGATGCAAGCTTTCCCCAAAGAACATTCAAATAATTCTTATCACTTGGCTGCATAATCATCAAGCAAATGTACAAATATGATGTTGTTTCCGTGTAATTACCGCACTCATAGAGATACTTGGCCAATTTATAAACACTCTGGATGATATCGATTTTTATCTGTGAATTCGACATCAAAATTTTATAATTCAGTTCACTTTTTAAATCACTTCTTTACTTACATTATATTCGGACTGAAGTACATTGATCAGCGTTTTACTATCCTTCATGGTGTCTCTTGTCTTGATTTCTTCCATACATTTCATCAAAGGTTCGACTTCGAGCTGCAATTCCTTCAATTTTGCCAAAACAGTTTGTCGTTTCAATTGAAGTTCTTCCGGCAACTTTTCCGATAGACTTAAACGCTGCCTGATGTCAGTAGTGTAATCAATCATATTAGTCTTATTAACTGTTTCCAATATAAAATTGAGTAGTTCATTTTTATCATAAATCTGTGAATTAAAGAATATTTAAGGTTATTGTGAAGAGATTATTAATTTTTCACTGAATTTTCTACTATTCTCTATCCTTCTACTTACATCCTTGCTCAATAAGAATTCTAATAATGGAAAAGTCAAATGACGATCCAAAAACTGCAAATTTCGCGTAGTTAAATCAAATTTTGCCATTTTTCTTAAATTTCAATGATGTTGTTTTGAGAGCGTAAGCAAAAACTCGTGCGCTGAATTTGAACGAACACTGAAGACTTTTTTTCAAATATTTCAGATCCGTTATGCTTTTGAATTTTTAAAATTAAATACCCTATTTTTAAGTTACTAGCCAGTGGCTTATGGGATGAAAAAAGTTTTCAAAATCGTGCAAAAAAACTGAAAAACGAATAGTGGCTTGTTAAAAAAATTTCAACATACAAGATAGATTAATAACTTTACCTATGTTTGCATCATAAAGTGCATATCAAAATTAATAAGTTCAAGCTTAGAATACTTATACTTCAAATCAAGGAAAGCAGCTTAATTAAAGAAAAAAGTCGATTCTCCAAACGTCAACTTTATGTCACGGAGCATCTTTGAGCTTTTATTTTACTGATCCGTAAAAAAATTACCAGAAAAACGAATTGAAAAAATTAAAATACTACTCTTATCTTTGATTATTATGTAAATCTATTAATGAAACTTAATAGAGTAATTATTTTTGATAATTTGAGACTGTTTTGATATTTAAACTCAAATGTATACAAAAGATATTAACCAGAAGATTTTTATCATCAAAACACAAATAACCTTGGATTAAAAAAGCTTATTTTTTAATGTAATAATGTCAATGAGTGTTGTGTCAATAAAATGTTTTCTTTAATTTCATATTACTACGAAGGAATAATAAGCCTGAATTTTCGTAGATCATTAAGCATCAGGGTTGTTAAAACATATTCTATTTTACAGAATATGTACACATATCCAACACATTTTGCATGTTCACGTGTACAATGTGTGGCAGAATTCATATGTTGGCAGATAACATATGTCACACATTGCATATGTGCACATATTTTATGTGTGATGTGTGCACATATTTGATGTGTGACACATTATTTTGTGTCACATATGAAAATGTGTGATGTGTGACACATATTTATGTGTGTAGATATCATGTGTAAACATGCAAAATCTGCACACATTTATTAATTTGCGGGACTAAAGTGATATTTTTTTGTAGAATTTATTTAAGAAATTATTGATATATAACCAAAACAGTCAAATACTGAATAAAAGAGTTAATTTTGTCGAAAATATGTTCATCAAACTGTAATTTTAAACTAATTTGATTTTATTTGTTGGAGAAATGAAGATTAAACTAAGAATGATGAGCTTCAGTTATGATCAATACTTTAATAGTAAAACTCGTGTCTCTTAATCACTTGTAAATCAATTTTAAGTCAAGTTTTCCGAAAATAAAGTCAAATTAGTTTAAAATTACAGTTTGATGAACATATTTTCGACAAAATTAACTCTTTTATGCAGTATTTGACTGTTTTGGTTATATATCAATAATTTCTTAAATAAATTCTGCAAAAAAATACCACTTTAGTCCCGAAAATAAATATGTGCAGATTTTGCATGTTTACACATGATATCTACACACATAAATATGTGTCACACATCACACATTTTCATATGTGACACAAAATAAGTTGTCACACATCACACATAAAATATGTGCACATATGCAATGTGTGACATATGTTATCTGCCAACATATGAATTCTGCATCACATTGTACACGTGAACATAATTTTAAAAAAGGCCAGATTCTATTTTTAACCACCCTGTTAAGCATAATTAAATCTTTTCAAGTGATCTATTGAAATGTTACAACTCACCCAAACTAAGTGAAAAATTGAAAAAATATGTTTAAAAATTTTGTATTTTTTCACGGATTAAGACAAAAAAAAGCTTTTTTATAACTCGATGACACAATGAAATTTTTCAAAGAATTAAAATATTTCAATAATTAATGACTTAAAACATATAGAAAAGCAACTTAATTAAAGATTTTTGCCTGTTCTATAACTTAGTAAAAGTTATTCAGTGTTGATATCAATAGTTTTCTCCAATAAAATTGATATTTTTTTGAAAATAGCCTACTTTGATCAAAACCAAAAATGCTTTAAATTGCATATTAAAACATATTTGGGTATTATAAATGATAAAAAATGCTTATATAGACATAAAATTGATATTTTTTTGAAAATAGCCTACTATGATCAAAACCAAAAATGCTGTAAATTGCATTTTTAAACATATCTAGGTATTATAAATGATAAAAAAAAGCTTATATAGACATAAAATTGATATTTTTTTGAAAATAGCCTACTGTGATCAAAACCAAAAATGCTTTAAATTGCATTTTGATACATATCTGGGTATTACAAATGATAAACAATAGTAATAAAGAAATAAAATTGATATTTTTTTGAAAATAGCCTACTATGATCAAAACCAAAAATGCTGTAAATTGCATTTTTAAACATATCTAGGTATTATAAATGATAAAAAAAAGCTTATATAGACATAAAATTGATATTTTTTTGAAAATAGCCTACTGTGATCAAAACCAAAAATGCTTTAAATTGCATTTTGATACATATCTGGGTATTACAAATGATAAACAATAGTAATAAAGAAATAAAATTGATATTTTTTTGAAAATAGCCTACTATGATCAAAACCAAAAATGCTGTAAATTGCATTTTAAAACATATCTGGGTATTATAAATGATAAAAAAAAGCTTATATAGATATAAAATTAAAATTTTTTTGAAAAAAGCCTACTATGATCAAAACCAAAAATGCTTTAAATTGCATTTTAAAACATATCTGGGTATTACAAATGATAAACAATAGTAATAAAGAAATAAAATTGATATTTTTTTGAAAATAGCCTACTATGATCAAAACCAAAAATGCTGTAAATTGCATTTTAAAACATATCTGGGTATTATAAATGATAAAAAAAAGCTTATATAGATATAAAATTAAAATTTTTTTGAAAAAAGCCTACTATGATCAAAACCAAAAATGCTGTAAATTGCATTTTAAAACATATCTGGGTATTATAAATGATAAAAAAAAGCTTATATAGATATAAAATTAAAATTTTTTTGAAAAAAGCCTACTATGATCAAAACCAAAAATGCTTTAAATTGCATATTAAAACATATCTGGGTATTACAAATGATAAACAATAGTAATAAAGAAATAAAATCGATATTATTTTGAAAATAGCCTGCTATGATCAAAACCAAAAATGCTTTAAATTGCATATTAAAACATATCTGGGTATTACAAATGATAAACAATAGTAATAAAGAAATAAAATCGATATTATTTTGAAAATAGCCTGCTATGATCAAAACCAAAAATGCTTTAAATTGCATTTTAAAACATATCTGGGTATTATAAATGATAAAAAAAAGCTTATATAGATATAAAATTAAAATTTTTTTGAAAATAGCCTGCTATGATCAAAACCAAAAATGCTTTAAATTGCATATTAAAACATATCTGGGTATTACAAATGATAAACAATAGTAATAAAGAAATAAAATCGAAATTTTTTTGAAAATAGCCTACTATGATTAAAACCAAAAATGCTTTAAATTGCATTTTAAAACATATCTGGGTATTACAAATGATAAACAATAGTAATAAAGAAATAAAATCGATATTATTTTGAAAATAGCCTGCTATGATCAAAACCAAAAATGCTTTAAATTGCATGTTAAAACATATCTGGGTATTACAAATGATAAACAATAGTAATAAAGAAATAAAATTGATATTTTTTTGAAAATAGCCTACTATGATCAAAACCAAAAATGCTTTAAATTGCATTTTAAAACATATCTGGGTATTACAAATGATAAACAATAGTAATAAAGAAATAAAATTGATATTTTTTTGAAAATAGCCTACTATGATCAAAACCAAAAATGCTTTAAATTGCATTTTAAAACATAGGGGCCATTCACTTATTACGTAACGCTTTTAGGGGGAGGGAAGGGTCTAAGATTTTGTTACAGTTCAAACAAGGAAATTTTTTTTTCATACAAATTTTGTTACGAGGGGGGGGGGGGTCTAAGAAGTCATTTTTTCGCGTTACGTAATAAGTGAACAGCCCCATATCTGGGTATTACAAATGATAAACAATAGTAATAAAGAAATAAAATCGATATTATTTTGAAAATAGCCTGCTATGATCAAAACCAAAAATGCTTTAAATTGCATATTAAAACATATCTGGGTATTACAAATGATAAACAATAGTAATAAAGAAATAAAATCGAAATTTTTTTGAAAATAGCCTACTATGATTAAAACCAAAAATGCTTTAAATTGCATTTTAAAACATATCTGGGTATTACAAATGATAAACAATAGTAATAAAGAAATAAAATCGATATTATTTTGAAAATAGCCTGCTATGATCAAAACCAAAAATGCTTTAAATTGCATGTTAAAACATATCTGGGTATTACAAATGATAAACAATAGTAATAAAGAAATAAAATTGATATTTTTTTGAAAATAGCCTACTATGATCAAAACCAAAAATGCTTTAAATTGCATTTTAAAACATATCTGGGTATTACAAATGATAAACAATAGTAATAAAGAAATAAAATTGATATTTTTTTGAAAATAGCCTACTATGATCAAAACCAAAAATGCTTTAAATTGCATTTTAAAACATATCTGGGTATTACAAATGATAAACAATAGTAATAAAGAAATAAAATTGATATTTTTTTGAAAATAGCCTACTATGATCGAAACCAAAAATGCTTTAAATTGCATTTTAAAACATATCTGGGTATAACAAATGATAAACAATAGTAATAAAGAAATAAAATTGATATTTTTTTGAAAATAGCCTACTATGATCAAAACCAAAAATGCTTAAAATTGCATATTAAAACATATCTGGGTATTATAAATGATAAAAATGCTTATATAGACATAAAATTGGTATTTTTTTGAAAATAGCCTACTATGATCAAAACCAAAAATGCTTTAATTTGCATTTTAAAACATATCTGATATTATAAATGATAAAGAATGCTAATATAGATATAAAATTAAATTTTTTTTGAAAATAGCCTACTATGATCAAAACCAAAAATGCTTATAATTGCATATTAAAACATATCTGGGTATTAT